ATCATCTTGCTTTGCACACAAATCAAATTTTTGAAAAGGTAATGTAGCTTGTGGGACTTTGGGCAATTAACTTTTTTGGGCCTTAGTTTTCCTATCTATAAAATGTGAGTAATAATACCTATGTCATATAGTTTGAGTTAATACTGAATATGTGAAAGTGTTTGGAACATAATAAACTCTATACAAGTGTTAGCTTCAAACAACAGTCACAAAAACTGCTTCTCTTATTTAAGTGTTAGCGTTGAAAAAAATCTTGAGACTGCCTTCCTTTTTACTTACTCTCATTCCTAACCAGTTAATTATAAATAATATTATAGTAATAAGTGTGAATAGCTTAAAAGTAAAAACTATAGTAGTTCTCTGGCCTGAACCCTTACCCATCCCTAAGGTTTGATCTCTGCTTTTAGCTCTTTTAGTTATATCTTTGTTGTGCGCCTCATTTTCTAAAACATAGATATCTGGGCCCTACTCCAGAGGTTCTTCTTCAGTGGATCTGGGTGGGGCTCAAGAATTTGCATTTCTGACAAGTTCCCAGGTGATGCTTATGCTACTGGTTTGAGGACCACACACTGTGAGCCACTTTCTCTAGTCCACAGATCTCACTGATTTGTAAAATGTCACAGGGATTTGCACAGGGAGGTTGACTCAACAGCTGAAATTAAGTAATGAGCAGATCGTCACTGAGTGCCTTAATATTGAGTATAGAATAAAGTTCAAACTACATGGAATTCACCATCTAGCTCTATCCACCTTTCCATTTCTCACCTCATCTCAACACCCCTTGTACATTTTATCATTGCTGAACTTACAGCAATTTAAAAAATGTGCAGTGGTTTCTCATCAGTGGTTTTTGATATGCTGTTCTTTCTTCGTGGAATTCCTGTCCCTATTTGGCTGCCTGGAGGTATCTTCATTCTCTTTGTTGCTTTTCCATCGCTGCAGAATTAGATGTTTCTACCTCCCATGTGTTCTTGAAACAGTCTATATGTACTTCTGTCAGAGTACAGATCACAATATATTTTAACTACTTGTCTGTCTTTCTTCTTTCTAGCTTGTAAGCTCCTTGGGAAGAGAGTCTTGGTATTTTACATTTCATTTTCACTGGCTTGATATAGTTGTTGGCATATAATATGAGCTAAAATAAACATTTGACTAAAGACAGAAGGAATTGGATGATTTGGAGGCCCAAAAGTGGAGACTGCTTATATGGAGTTTTGTTGTCTTTAATTTCAAGGAGCAAATCTACATAAGCAGCAGTATACACTCCCTTAACACATATGATGCTTCTGGATTTGTTAGGACCACGTACCACCCAAATGTGGATCTTGGGCTATGTTTGAGCCCCTTTCAGTTAACAGTAGCTGAGGTAGTTTAGGATAGTGGGAACCCATGGGTTTCTCTTAACAATCACACAGTTCCAAAATGATGAGCATTTGGTCATTTTCATTTTTCATTATCTGTCTTTTAGAATCTTGCCTATCTTTTAAGGGCCAGCTGAAATGCTACCGCTGTAGGAAGCCTTCCTTGATTACTCCTGGGAGACCTTTCTTTTCTCTGAAAACAGTATATCACTGGCACATCCTGTTTTATTTGTACTTAATTGCATTAACATTTGCCTTCCCTTCTAGATTGTTTACTCCTTTAAGACAGTGCAATTTGGAACCACACTTAGGAAGAGATTTTAAAACTATGCCACGGTGGTTGAACTTTTACCAGTATGTAGATAAAAGTCATTGGAACTTGTGTTGAGAAGAAGAAAAAGAGAAAAAATACCCAATTTATATCTGTGTTTTAAAAATGTAATCAGTAATGCAGAGAAGCTGGGTGGAAAACATAGAAAACAAAACTGCTCTGTGGTTCAGATAAAAGATGATATTAGCAGAAAGGGAACTTGAGGGGAAAGAACAGACATTTTAGAAGTTCAGTTTGCTTCCTTGGTGACAGATTAGCTGGTCATGATAGGGAACACACAGTGATACTGAGGACATTGACTAGAATGCTTTTGGTTGCAGTAAGAGAAAACCCGTCTCGAACTAGCTTACGCAATGAAGGATATTTCTTGACCTCTGTAACAGGAAAAGTTTGATCAGTGCACTGACACAATCTTTCCAGGATTCTCTTAGCACTGCCATCCTCAGCTTTTAAGAATCTATGTGTACAAACCATGTTTCTCTAGAAGAAACTGTCCAGAGTTTCAACCCAAATCTTGAGCTTCATGCTGACTGGACCAATCTTTCTGGCCACACTCTGGCTGTTAATGATAAAACAGTTGGATACTGAACAAAATGCTGTGGAGGTGGAGTTGAGGTCAAGTACTCTTAAGGTATATAGCTGCTACATGGTAGGAAGATGGTATTGGAGGAGGTAGCTATAATATCCCTGAGGATTTCTGTGGTAGAAGATGATGTTGGTTGGAATAAGAAATAGGAAGAGGTACCAGTTTGAGAAAATACTACTGAGTCTGATTTTGGAGGGGTCAGGGAAGATAACAAGCAAGAGCAGCATTTCTGAATGATAGAGCAACCTCAGGAAGGCCTCTAAAGAGGGAAACAGCTGGGTTTGTTTTAGGAACTAAGAGGAAGTCATTGGGGCTGGCTTTTTTTTTTTTTTTTTTTAATTTAACTGACAGAGAGACAGAGAGAGAGCACAAGCAGGGGGAGCAGCAGAGGGAGAGGGAGAAGCAGACTCCCCACTGAGGTCCCAGGACCCCGGGATCATGACCTGAGCTGAAGGCAGACGCTTAACCGACTGAGCCACACAGGCGCCCCTGGGGCTGGCTTCTAATGAGGGGAAGACTAGATAAGATGAGGTTGGCAGGAGGCTGATGTTTTTTGGTTCGTGGTAAGGAGTTTAGATTCTAAATGCAATGGGAAATCATTAAAAGGTTTTAACTAGTCAAGTGACATGATTCAATATACATTTTATCCTTTTTTTTTTTTAAGATTTATTTATTTAAGAGAGAGAGCCTGTGTGTGTGCATGCATGCAAGCAGGGGGGTGGGGCAGAGTGGGAGGGAGAGAGAGAGAGAGAACATCAAGCAGACTCACTGCTGAGCATGGAGCCCAACGTGGGGCTCAATTTCACGATCCTAAGATCATGACCTGAGCTGAAATCAAGAGTTGGACACTTAACCCACTGAGCCACCCAAGCGCCCAATATACATTTAAAAAAGATAATCCTTGTTTGTTCACGGAGACTGGAATAGATGGGATTGGAGTGGGTGCAAGAAGAATAGTTACAGGCTGTTGAGTAATCCTGGCTTGAACTAGACAGGTATGGGGAGGAAGAAATGAAGAACAGTAAGAGACTACAGAAATATTTTATAGCTAGAGTTAATTAGTTCTTGTGATAGAGTGGATTTAAGAGTTGAATGAAATGAAAGAGTTAGACTTAGTTTTCTGGCTTGAACTGCTGTTTGGACATAATAAGGGGGAAAACTGGAGAAGGAATAAGTCTGAGAGGAAGAACACTTTGCAAAGCCAAGTTTGAGATGCCCATTATGTTTTCAAGAGAATAAATACCTCAGGTAGTTGTCTAAATGAGTCTGGAGCTCATGTGGAAGAGAGCCAGGGCTGGAGATATGAAGTTAACGTTCTCACTCACCAGAGAGATGGTATTAATGCATCAAAACGCGATAAGATGTAGGCCTCAGGATTTAAGATGGCCAGAAGAATGAGAGTATCCTCCCTTGATAATCTCTGGATTTCAGCCTCTTATTTCACCTGTAGTTTTGAAATTCACTCTATTTTATATATTGACTTGATTTTGTTAATTAGTTGATTTTGATAATTCCTTAGTGATTTTTCTGGTTTTTTTTTCCCCTTCCAGTTTTGGCTGATCTTGGGCATCAAGATTGAAATAATAATAAAATTTATGGGGGCGCCTGGGTGGCTCAGTCATTGAGTGTCTGCCTTCGGCTCAGGTCATGATCCCAGGGTCCTGGGATGGAGCCCCGCATCGGACTCCCTGCTCAGTGGGAAGCCTGCTTCTCCCTCTCCCACTCCCCCTGCTTGTGTTCCCTTTCTTGCTGTCTCTCTCTCTCTGTCAAAAAATAAATAAAATCTTAAAAAAAAAATAAAATTTATACCTTTTGTACTGTACTTTGAAAAATCTGCAAGGTTTTGAGGACAGTTACTGAAATTGCCTTTCCTTCTTTCTCTTCTTCAGGCTGACTTCCCTAAACTTTTCTGCTTACATGTACATTCTCCTGAAACCTATAGATTTGTTTTTTTTTTTAAAGAATTAATTATTTCAAATATGTAGTATATGTGTATGATATGAAAATCAAAAGATACAGAAGAGTCTTCCTATCCTTAACCATCCAATCAATTACCTTTTCTGAAAGTAAGCCATGTTCCTAGGTCTTGTGAGTCATTCCATATCATTTCACATAAGATTAGTTGCATGGTATACATTCTACTCTTATCGTATCATGATTTATTTACCAGTTTCCCATTATAGACTTACGTTTTTGCTGACTTTTCCATACTGGAAAAAGTTCTTCAAAAGATATCACTATAAATAATATCATTTTCCAGGAGTATGAATATATCAGGATAAATTCTGAGGAGTGGAATTGCTGGGTCAAAGAGTTTATGCATTATAAATTTTGATAGATACTGCCAAATTGTTCTTCCTCCAGAGGTTATACCATTGCACTTTCTCACTAGCAGTGAGACAACACTGTGTCATATGTTGACACATGTCAACATAATGAGTTACCAACTCCTTGACTTTGCTGCTAATCTTGAGAGGTGAAAAATGTGTCTTATTGAGCCCTGTAGAATTTGAATGATTACAGAGTGGCTTTGATTTTATTTTACTGAATTAGTGAAATGACTATTTTATGATTGTCAGTATATGTATGTATTTTTTTTAAATCACTGCAAGTGTTTCTAAGTGACTGGAGAACATTATTTGATTCTATATTTAAACCATACATTATAATATAGATATTTAAGTTTCAGGATTTTAAATCACTAAGTATCCTTAATTTGCAGGTTTTATCTGAGAGAACTAATATTGAACTTTGGGTTTGTGCCAACATTATTCGTCTCTTTAATGATGATAACACAATTCCCTTCATTATACGGTATCGAAAAGAGCTTATTAATAACCTCGATGCTGATTCCTTGAGAGAAGTTCGACAAACCTTGGAGGAGCTCCGGTAAGAAACCTGGGAAGGGATGAGCCTACTGGGGGGCGAAAGAGGCCATGTGAGCCAGTGAGGAGAAACAGTGAGGAAGTGAATGACAGCTTATTTCAACAGTTCCATTGTTTTGTTTTCTTGAATTATTGTAATTGAATGTAGTCGCCTTCTGACAGAGGAAGTCAGCTCCATTTTACTTCTTTAGGTGTGTACAGAGTCCCTCTGCTGGAGTGTTTATGAATAGCTCAGGCATGCATGGGTAGAAAGGAGGTTTGCCTTAAAAGTGTGTGCCTAAGAGTTTGACTGTCATATTCTCTCATAGAAATAGTTGTGCATAATGGCAAAGGAAGGAAACTGAGAAAAATACATTTTAGTCTGAATCTTAAATAGCTTATGTAAAACTGTCCTCTTAATACTATGAAGTCCCTAAATGGAGAGTTTTTTTGGCAGTATAGAGTTTGTGGGAAATATGTATATTTCCTTTTTCTGATCTTTTAAAGGGCATGGTAATTTGGTATTGGTGGGTTTTAAGTTTTGTATAGTTATAGAATGAAAAGCATCCTTTAAAAATTATTTCTCTGGACTTACTGTAGTAACTCAGAAATAAGCATGCAAAGACTGTAAGATTAACTATATTTTTCAGTAGAGTTTATTAAACACTCTTCACCATTCATGCATTTATTGCATATCTCCTACCTGCCAAGCACTGTGTTGTTAATGTGTGTGTTCTTCAACTCTATGACAAGGATCTGATTAAAATTGGATAGAATCTTAACCTTCAAGCCATTCTAAAAGTGCTAAAAGTTATTTTTTACAAGCAACCTAATAATCTTCCTATGATTTGGGGGGAACCTGCATCTCACTAGGATTTCTACACCTTTTGTTGAAGTTCTTTTAGTGCCAGGAGGATTAAGATGCTAATAGTTGGAGAGTTATATTTCATTGAGAGAAAAATCAATTAGCCAGCCCAGAAGTATAAATGACTAGCTAATTAGGTGGTTTCAGATTTAAGTCTTCTAGGCCCAGGGTAGTATAATCAAGCATTAAGGGATACAAACTCGAGATCCTAACTCATAAGAGGGTTAGCATCTATTCCAGCTGATTACTGACATGCAGGCTTGTCCACCCAGTTTGCCAGCTTGTCCTATTTTTTTTTTTTTTTTCCCAAAGAATCTGGTAATCTGAGTTTTTATATAAAAACTTTCTGGGCCAGACAAAACCATCTACAGGTCACATGTAGAAGGCCAGTAGTTTACAAATTCTGAAGTAAGCTTTCTATTTGGTTGAATTCAAGGTAATGGAGAAAATCTGAGGATTTGGGGATCTGAAATTGAGGAGAGTGTCACAAACAAGCAGGAATAGTTTACATTAAAAATTAAAGATATTCTAATAATATTTGGTTGTGTGGGGGACAAATAGAAACTTTATGTCAAGATTCCTATTATTTTCTTTTTCTATTAAAAACACTTCAAAAGAGTTCATTTCCTGGGTATCTATTAATAGTGAAGTACATTGAATATTAATGGAGGAATATTTCTCTGAGTAAGTGGGGGCATTGACTGGGACTCTGAGCAGTTTCAAGGACATTATTGAAATAGTTGGTGAAACTTAGGTGAGATCTGTGGATTAGAATATAGTAATATATCTATATTCATTACCTGATTTTGATGGCTGTATTGTTATGTAGGAGGAGATTCTTATTTATAGAAAATATGCACTAAAATATTTGGGTAATGGTAACTTAGTCTTAAATGGTCCAGAAGGGTGGAAAATGTTTTTATCTCAACTACAACATTCCTGTAAGTTTGAGATAGCTTCAAAAAGGAAGTTTTGACACATAAATCTTGTATATTACAAAAGTTTTTATTTTCAGGGCTGTTGCAAAGAAGGTTCATAGTACAATCCAAAAAATTAAGAAGGAGGGAAAGATGTCTGAGTGCTTGTTAAAAACCTTGCTGAACTGTAAAACTTTTGAAGAACTAGAACATGTGGTAAGGAACTCTTTTAATCTTTTAATATCATACTTACCTAATTATATTATGATTTGGATCTTTTTATATAAAGTTAAAAAAGATCTGGAAATAAAAAGCTAAAGTCATCAGCCATCATTATTTAATTCAACAAAGTGCTTATTCAATAAATATCTATCAAATGCTTTTTTGTGTGGTTTGCTAAGATAGGTAATACAGAGTCCTTGTCTCCAAGGCATTCCCAGTTGAGTGGGGAGACAAAGGAGTGTAGGTTATGGAATTGAGAAACCTAAGGGAGAGTGCTCAGCTGGAGACCTAGCTGTGAGGGTCTTCAGCATGTAGTTGGTATTTAAAACCATGAGAATGGATGATTTCACTCAGGGAGAGTTTATGGGTAAACAAGTCAGGATAGACCATTGAGGAACACTAACTTTTGAAGCATGGGTGGAGGAAGGGAAAACCGAAGGAGGAGACATGGAAAGAATGGTCAGGGAAGTAGGAGGAGAATCAGGAGATGATGACACCATGGAAGACTGTAGGGAAGAGAGTCTTAGAAGGAGGTAATGATCAATAGTTAAGTAAGTAAACGTAGCAGGGAGGTTTGGCAAGATAAGGACTGAAAAATGTATATTTGGTAATTAGGGGATCATTGTGCCTCTTTGGGATACCACTTTCAGCAAGGTGTGGGAAGAGAAGCCCACTGGCTCAGGTTGAAGAGTGAATGTGTGTTAAGAAGTAGAAGCATTGTGTGTCAGCAGCTATTAGAGGAGCTCCCTTGGGTTGAGGAGAGGACCTGACAGTCTTTGCAGTCCAGGCACTGAGTTTTTAAGATGAGTGAATACAAACAAATGACTAATGTGAAGTGAATAGAAAAGTCTAAAGAATCACATAAGGAATAACCATCTTTGTACAGCTAGTAGTCTCTGGTTAGTATTAATTCACCTCTGAAGGGAGAGGAAAGGGTTGAGAAAAGGATGTCTTTAGCATTCCCGCCATGTCTTCTGATTTTGTGTTTTAATTTTGACTTGCTTTTTAAAACAACGATATGGTATATTTTCTGACTTTTTTTTTCTAGTCAGCTCCATATAAAACTGGAAGCAAAGGCACCAAAGCCCAGAGAGCAAAGCAGTTGGGATTAGAAGGAGCAGCCAAGATACTGCTTGAGAATCCAGGACAGCTCAATCTGCTATCTTACATTAGACCCAATATAAAAGGTACCAGCTTTACTTTAAGAGATCATCCCTATTTCTTTCTCTTCCTTTTTTAATTTGAAAACTATTTAAAAATTTTTTTCATTAAGTAATGACTATACAAGAGTATTGTAGCATATAAGAATAAATAATTCTAATAAACAAATCCCCATATACCTCCTCTTAGGCATCAGCTTCCTCTTTTGAAGTGCCTGTTCTAGTCTTTTGCCCATTTTTATTGTGTTGTTTCTCTTTTTTTTTAATTAGTTTATAAGTACTTTTTAAGATATTCTTTCCCAGTTATATGTATTACAAATCTTTTCTCCCAGTTTGTAATTTCTTTTCACTTTCTTTATGCTGTCTATTAAATAAACAGAAAATAGAAGGTCTTAGTTTTATTATAGTTAATTTATTAATCTTTTCAGTTTTGCTAATCTTTTCTCTAAGATACTTGCTTTTTTTTTTTTCTTTTTAGAGAAATTTCTTCATGTCCCAAGGTTATAAAGAATGTCCTATATTTTCTTTTAAAACTTGGATTCTATTTCTAAAAATTTATTTAATTATAAAAATCATATTTACTTTTTAAAACTAATCTCAACAATTCTGACATATATTAGTTATAAAGTGAAGTCCTGCTTCCACACTTCTACTCTCCAGGAGTAAAGGGTCTTTTTCTGAAATGTATCTTCTAACCTTTTGTGTATGTGTGCACAAGAAGGAGAGTGAGATGGGAGGAGGGTAGGGGAGAGAGAATTTCTAAGAGAAACCCATGGAAAGTGACAACTGATACATGTCAAGATACATTGGTTTTATTGGCAAAATTAGCCCTAGAGTGAGAGCTCTTTGAGCAAGAGTGACTTTTTACAGGAGTGCTCTGACAGGATAGGATGGGGAGATTGGTGCTCTCCTAAGTCCTATTCTCATTCTAGTTTCTTTGGTCTTCTGTTTATTCTTTTGGCTAGGAGATCTAAGTGTCTATAGGGGGCAGTCTCTGATAAGAATATCCACATTCTGTACTACACTATGGGGAATCCTAGCATATTGTAACCTGCATTCATTTTAAACTATTCAGCAATGTGAGTTTGCAAATAAAAAATTAAGGATGAGTGTCTGTATCTATTCACATACAAATATACACATCTTAATATCTGATTTGAAAATGGCAATAATTAAAAGAAAAAGCAAATAAGTATTGAATTTAGAGATGGATCGAAATGAGTAAAACTCACTTGTTTTATTTTTTAATGTGTATTTTTAGTTAGATTTTCAAATGATGCAATTTTAATGTTTTAATAGAAGCTGAGACTGTATAGCCAAGCATTAAGGTCAGCCACAGTGGGAACTTTCTTCCCCAGTGATGGTATGTTTTCTTAGAATCAAATATTGGAGTTTTCAAAATGTCAGGTGCATAAAGGTTTGTCTGTTCTTACTCTTTAATGATCGATTTCTGTTCCTTTTCACCTCCTTTGTTACCAAGTTTTCCTTAGTTTGCACATATACTGAGTTCCTACTGGGTAGGTTTGATAACTCTGTCTCTTTGCATGGCCATATATGGTGATGCTCATGAACTACATGGTGATGGACACTTAGTGATACTTCTGTTAATGGGGCTCAGTCAGGGCTCAGTGCAGTTACAGTAGTACTAGCACATATATTGAACTTTCTGTTTGCTTTATTCCCTCTTTCTTTTACTCTGATTATAAATGTCAAAGAATTACAATTAATTCCAAACAAGCTAGATACTGGTTTTTAAAGTTTGCTTGGATTGTGTTTTTCTTTTCTCTGTCCCCTCATTTCTTGGGCTATACACATACTCATGATCATCCTCAATTCTCTTATTTTTCTAAAGATGTATTTTCATCATTCCCATCATTTCTCAGAGAAATATTTAAGAAACCAACTATTTCAGTGTGAAGTGGAAGACACTTCTTACTTGCCACAGACCAATAAGAATTTGGTCTGAATCAAAAAGATATACATGCCACAGATGAACTACATCCTAGAATTTTCAGAATATCCCCATGTTGTTTACAAGGAGGAGTAGCTGATTGCTCTGTTGTGTGGAAGAAGAGGTAGCCGTATTGCAGATAAAGTGAAAAGAAGTGTTGGCCCTTCAATTTTTGTTACAGTCGTGGAGCTTTGAAGAATCTGGCTGGAAAGTTTTCACTACAACAGAGGAGATAATGATTTTCTGCTTCTGTGGTCCTTATATCCTCCTGATTTCATTGAGGTGCTAAACTTTTTGAACTCTTGTTATTTTTGGCTGTCTTAAGCCCCAGTGATCAGTTCTCTCTGATGGAAGCAGATGCTTATTCAAACACACAAGACTCTTTTCCCAGTCCTTTCTCTTTCTAGTTGGACTGAGAAGGAGGTAATGTAATGTGATTGAGCTACCCAAGTGACTCTGATAATTTCTACCTCCCATTAGGAACCACTGCTCTAAAGGTAGCTCAAGGCACCTCCCCAGCAGTGCTTTTGCCCTTTTTTTTTTTTTTAAACTTTAATGGGTATCAGAATCATCTGGAATGCTCTGCAAAACAAAAATCCCCAAGTCTAGGAATCCATATTTTTAGTAAGTACCTAGTGTGATTTTATTTTTGGGTCCTTAGACTATACAAAACATTGCTCTAGAGCTCTAGTGTAATTTTAATTATATAAGGTTTGTCAATTATAAAAAGTTTACAAACTGTATTCGTCAAAAATGATGGGGGCTTTTTAAAGGTCTCTTATTATTATAATAGAAAAATATATAACTTCCTTTTTCTGTTCTCTCTCATTGATGATTCTCATTGGAGATAGGTTCCATCTTTACTTCTGACTTACTACCCTGGTGTTTTTATTAAGTTTTGTGTAATGATGCTGTAAGGTGCTTTGGGACTCCAGGAATTAGTGCATAGTGACTGGTTTTCTTTTCTTTCTTTCCTTTTTTTTTTTTTTGGTAAGATTTTATGTATTTATTTGAGAGAGAGCAAGAGTGAGAGAGAGAGCATGAGTCGGGTGAGGAGCAGAGGGAGAAGCAGGCTTAATCCTGGGGCGGGGCTCGATTCCAGGACTCCGGGATCATGACCTGAGCCGAAGGCAGCCGCTCAACCAACTGAGGCTCAGTGACTAGTTTTCTGAGATGAAGACTGATGTAGGGAGATAGCTCACCCAAGAGCAGATATTTACTCACTGCTTACTATATGTCACAGCTGTTCTAGGTCCTTTATATATACAACCTTCCACCTCTCAAAGGTAATTCACTCCTGAAAATCCCCTCGTAGGGAAACTCTCTTAAAATGTAAACAGAATTTATACTAATTTTAATGGTTAAATTTCTTTAAAATAATTTTAGTTATTTTAATAGTTAAGAGTAGTTATAAGAAAACCCAACAAGGCATTTCTCTTTATTAATGACTCCCTAAGTCTGTCCTCTTATTTTCTTTGTCTTCTGTACCTATTACTCATTAAAACTATGCTCTCAGAAAAACATACTTATGATACTTAACTGCTTGTGTAATTCAAACTTTAATGCAAGAAAAAAAAGCTTTAATAGAACAACTAAGAAGAAATGGAAAAAAAAGCAATGCGAATGATCTCTCTTAATGTATATATAAGTTGATATCACAGGGTCCTGATGTTCAAGAGTCACTGCTATAAATTAGCAAACCAGAAGCACTTGGAAAGAACATAATGCACAACTGGTAGACAATTCAACTATGAAGATGAATGACCACATAATGGCTCTTGTTTTGTGCTCATGAGATTTGAGAAATTCAAATGGATCATTAAAAATGTGAATAAATGCTTCATAAGTCAAAATAAGAATATTAATAAAATTACTTGTAAAGGATAATTTTTGTAACTGGTATGAAATGGTATACCTTAGGTTATAACTCTGTTAATATATATTTCCCATAGTACATTTATTCTTTATAAACACTTCATGAAGTAGGTGCTATTATTCCATTTTTATAGGAAACTGAGGCACAGAGGTGTCAAGTAACTTGCCCAAGGTTACACGTTTGGTAAGTGGTGGAACTAGGATTAGACCAGGCAGCTGGCTCCAGAGCTGCATTTTTTACCACTAGGTTATATGATATGTAAAGGTCCTGTATTATTGCTTTGGAGACTTGTTATTTTTTTGCAGAGGTAAGCTAGTCACTGCTATGATACTTCTCTGTCTTAAGGTTTTCAATTTAAGGGTTCATTTTGACTGGAATAAATTTATTATGATTTAATTGTAGACTTAAAGAACCAATCTGTAGTTCTTGCTTTGTTTTCCCCCTTAAACTTCTCCTAAAGGACTTTCAGCACTCCAGGATATTGAAACAGGAGTGCAGCATATTTTAGCAGACATGATTGCTAAAGACAAAGACACGCTTGACTTCATTCGGAAATTGTGAGTAACTCTTTTTTAGCGTTTTCTGCTTTGTGGACTCATGCTGTTAAGGGTTGTATGGTTAGTGCTAACACTAGTGTTCATTAAAAACTTTATTTTTAGACTTTTTTTTTGGTAGCAGAACTCTTTGTTCAAGCAATAGAACTCTAACATATAAAACAGATAAAAGTGATGTTGCTTTAATTGAATTCTAGGCAGGAAGCCTGGAACTCTGCCTGCTCATCTTCCTTACACTGACATACCTCAGTGGAGGGCTCTGAGGAACAGTTTAAAAACCATTGTATTAGAGACTTAAATGTGAGACAGGAGTCCATCAAAATCCTAGAGGAGAACACAGGCAGCAGCCTCTTCGACCTCAGCCACAGCAACTTCTTCCTAGGAACATCGCCAAAGGCAAGGGAAGCAAGGGCAAAAATGAACTATTGGGACTTCATCAAGATAAA